GAACTTTGTGGTGGGATGAGAAGGGTCTGAGCAGGGATGCAGGAAACATGGTTGTGCTCTTCAGTTTGGGGCAGCAGCTGCCCCAAAACGCATGGAGGGATGCAGTCTGCTCTCTCCGTCTCTGTGGAGGGTGTCCAGAAGGCTGCGGCTCCCACGCCGAGGAGAGGCAGGATTTGCTGCTCAAGGTGACTCACTGGATAAAGCCAAGGTCACTCAGTTGCCCCTAGATCATGCTGCTCTGATTATGCCCATCTTCTGTCATCTTTTGTATTTTCTCCTTTTGCACTGCAAGACATCCAGCTGGCTAATCCTTTACCTTGGCAGAGTTTCTCAGTGATGAGAGAAGAGGGAATTTCTTTTTCTGCCACCACCAACCATCCTCGCTGTGTAAGGGAGAGGCAGCAGAGGGTAAGCACTGGCTATCGCTGAGCAACAAGAAATACAAAAGTGGTGAAAATTATTTGGTTTTCCAGGCTGGGCAGCAACAGGGGTGTAAATTCTGTGTTGTCCATGACAGAATCGGGCAAACTCCATCCGTGTGCAGAGCGGCGCAGTGACTTGCTCGGGTGTGGATGTTTCTCGGGCAGTGCTGTAAGGATGCACACAGGATGGGCTTCCCCAGCGCTGCCCCGCTCAGCCAGCACCATCCGCCCTCGCTGCCTGTGCCTTTTGGAGTCCTCTGTTGGCACTGAAGACCATGACCCCTTTGCTACCACTGCAGTAGCCACCAACGTCCAATAAAAGATGGCACAGGATTCCTCCCTTGCCTTTGTACAGCGGTGCAGGGTTCGGCACTAAAGCCCTTTATGGTCTCATTTTCTAACCATTAACAGAGGATTTAATTTGCTTGTGTTTGCAGTGTAGAGCAATTGCAGTCAGAGGAGTGGAGCCTGGACCCTTTTTAGCTCGTACGCCATCAACAAAATTGTCAACTACATTCTCTGTAACAGGTTATTTAAGTAGGAAACGCAGCTGGATTGCAAATCCCCGGCAGAATGTGCAGCACGAGCAAACAGAAGAGTGATAACACAATAATGCTAGAATGGGGTTTTTAATCCAAGCAAATCTGCTTGGGAAGCTATTGTGAGCAAATTAGCAGAGGATGGGCAGCGTGCTGCCAGAAAGAGACCTCTCTTTGATAATCTGGTGAGGATTTTTCTTTGCTCCCCTCTCTCCCAAATCTACAGAGCATTAATGTGATGAGGCAAACACAACAGAATTTGTTACACGAGCCACTGAGAGTGACTCTTCCACGGGGAACTCTTCTCCGTTGCTTTTCCATTTCTTCCATTCACAACAACCTGCCAGGAAGGAGGAGCTGCCACAGGGTCCCCAGTCGGCTGCCCGGGACGGAGCGGGGACCCAGGGCCATCTGCCCCACGCAGATGTCCGCGTGCAGCAGCACCTTCTCCCAGCTTAAGCCAAGACCGTAGGAGGAGGGCGAAGGGAGGAGGGAGCGCTCGCTAAGCTGCGCTGGGCATGGCCATGGAGAGGAGTAAGCCGCAGCTGGGAGCAGTTCGCTGGAAGCTGCATTGCTAACCAGCACGGTGCCGGGCTGGGGCGTATTTCAAGGGGACATTTCCGTGGAAACGGAGAGCAGAAGGCCAGGTCCTCCAGATACAGCGACCCACTGAGGTGCAGCTTTTCTGCTAAGATGTCGGTGGAAAGCGTGCCCTCAGGGATTCATTAACAAATGTAACCTTGGATCCCTTGGGGGAGGCTTCTTCATTTCGTTCCCCAGAGCCCTACAAGCGCGAATGACAAATGCTCTCCTGCGAAGAAAAGCCTGGTAAGATGTTTTGAGCAGCTCCAGTGGCCTTCTGCTCCTCTGGACTGGACAAGCGCTGTCTTTGGAAGGGCTCAGGAAAACAAATGAGAGCCATGTGTTTGGAAAATCCTTGTTGAGCTGAACAGGAAATAAGCGCTACCTATTGGCGTTACTAGCCCGACTGATGAAATTTAATAAAGAGGTATGCTATTGTCAAGAAACAACTTAAATATTCAGTAGGAAAGCACTTTAAAATGGACAGATTTTCATGTATAGAGTTGTGGTGCAATTCCTATGAGATTACATTGCGAATGCCCATTACTCTCTGCAGGTTTTTCTTAGGCAAAAACGAGGAGTGACTACACATCTCCCATCCTGTTTGGCTGAAATGCCAGCGGAGAGGAAAAGACTAATTCTCTCTTGCAGCAGTGGCTCCGCTTGGTGCTTTACAGCCCCTGAAAGGGTTACCTCGCTCGTTAACAGCCCAGCACTGTGCTTCATAGGAAAATAATAAATGAACACATATTTTTTTTTTCCTTTTCTGTCTGCAGACATGACAAAGCTTTCAGGATGCCGAAAAGGTATGTTTAATATCAAAAGCTTCCTGTTCCTCTACCCCATGATCACTGCTCTGCTACCCTGCTATTAGGAAACGCAGAGCATTATCGCCGGTGACATCCCCGGCAAGCCCAGCCGCGGAGCAAGGTCAGCGCTCCCCGCTCAGGGCTTCCCATCTGCTCGGAAAAGCCTCCGTTTGCCTGTGAGATCAGTTCCACCTGCATTAATGAACAGCAACGCTGCCTTGACGGCTGTTCTTGGGGCGGGCGCCTGGCTCCAGTCCACACAACAGCTTTTTATAGATATAGATAATAACCCTATGTGTGTGTGTATATATATTTGTAGAGGGTTAATCCAGCTTGGCCCACCAGATGAGCAATCAGGAGGATAGTCCATCCATGAAATAAGTTCACTTTTTCAAAAGACAGAGGATTTTAAATACATTTCTCAAAATTAAAATAATTTGATTGCTTTCAACTTCTGTTTAAAAGCTCATTTTTGTAAACTATTTTTTCTGGAAGGTTTAGGTGAGCATCTTCCATCATCAGATACCGCAGCTGATTCTTTTTTTTCTTTTTTTTCTTTTTTTTTTCTGGTCATTGGACATGGAACCACCCAAAACAGTCTCCAGAAATTAGGTATGCTAATGTGCAAAGGGCAATTTTTGTTCACTTTCATAGCAAAGACTTCATCTATGAAAACAAACTAGATAAGGCAGGCTTAAATTGAAAAAGATACCAGACCTGACCAGAAGTCATGTGAAAAGCTGGTTGAAGGGCGTGTGATAATTTCTAAAGATGAGGAATAGCTTCATTGTTTAACTCTGTGAAGTTGGACGCAAGAGGAGCAACAGAGCAGGCAAGAAGGAACGTTGCACCTCAAGGCTGATACGCACTGGCACAGCCACTCTAAAGTTCATAAATACTTCACTTCCCCACGAAGCTCAAATATTTGTCAACTCTGTTTGAACAAAGAATTTCTTATATTTCAGAAACACATCAGAATACAGAAGAACTACCTAGAACCTGCCAGACCAGACCAGGAACCCGTATATCTGAACCCATAACTGATATCCTATCACTTAACAGACTGTTTTTGAGGAAGACAAAAATCGAGGCAGTAAAACCTGCACTGGTAAAAAACTGTGGGATAGTAACTTTGATAGATCATCCCATAGGAGACGCAGTTCGTCCCAAAAGAAAAATAGACCTTGAATGGAAAATTTTAGATCAGCTCTTAAGAACAAAAGTACCTGGCAAGAGTTTTGGCCAGAGTAAGCTGCTTCTCTGGAAGGGTTTTGTTTGCATAGAGATGTCATTAGAAACGCGTGTGCCACCATACCACACTGACAGGTATTCCAGGCACAGCCCTGGTCTCTGGGCTTGTAGGTGTTCTCCAGACCCTGAAGGAAAACTGGCCTGCTGCACGTGCAGATGCTCCCACTGTGGGTTCAGCGTTCGGCTTTGAGGCTGAGACCAGGGTGAGATTCACTCACCCTGCAGATGCAGAAGCCACGTGTCCACTCTGTGAGTGCTGCTGGCAATCCTACCACCGGTTACACATCAGCGTGGTGGTTTCCACCCTTTGTCGCTGTGCAGATGTGCGTACGTTTCCCAACAGTAAGGCAGGCTCCTATACAGTGAGTGAATTAGGCCAATGACAACGGACGTGCTTGAGGGGACCCTTCAGAATAGCCCAAAGACCTCTCTGGGTCCACAGGCTGAAGATCCGCAGGCCAAACTGCTAGGCAGCTACTAGCTTACATTGCTCAATGGGGGAAAAAAGGGAAGAAGCTCTTTTTAAATGCAATCTTTTAAGTTAAATATTTGAAGCTTCATTTTGCCCTAGGATGTATGAGTCTGGTTTTTATTATTTCTGACTGAAAAAGCAGGAAAATGTAGGGAGGCAAAATGTAATTACCCGAGTTAATTAGAATTGCCTGTGAACATGCAGTTGGAGGTATAATATGTTCATTAATAGCTGTACTAGAGCCTCTAAGCTTTTCAATAAATAAATGCTCAACCAAAATGCCCTAATTCTTTTACATCCTAACACTACATTGGTTCAACAGCAGGTTTCATGCTAACAGAAGCGCCTTAACATCTGCATTTTTTCTTCTCCTGTTGATTCCAGTTATTCCCAAATGATCGCGGAGTGGCCGACGGCCGTCCTGGTGCTGTGTTCAGTGACGGCTGTGGTTTGCACTCTAGCTGGCCTGCTTGTTGGGAATTTGCCTGACTTTTCAGAACCCTTAATGGTAAGTCCCTACAGTTGCTACGTCGATATGAACATAAGGAAAATCCATGGGCCAACCAGTCATACATTCTTTCTGCCATATAAAATGAGCCTATGCTGCAGAGAGGCAGCAAGGCAGGACAGTAAAACGAGCAGGACGTTAAAGCCAGTGGAAAAAATGACCATGTTTATCAGTGACCTGCTGTCCTTCAGCATGCAACCAAAGCAAGATTCCTTCAGGATGAACACCACGTCTCAGAGCACTGCACAGCCCTCGCTGTTCCTTTGACACCACAGAAAGAGCACAAGCTGTGCCAGTGGCAGCCACCAGCCCGTCTCTCAGCCGTGCTGTGGGCTCGCAATAGAGCCTGCCAGCACAAACCAGGATTGCTCCTTTTCCTCCCCTTCCACTGCTGGAAGGCTGGGGTTGCCCAAAAGGACTAGCTAGGCTGGGTGGAGATTGGATGGAGGATCTGGCTTTGGCTCCTACAGCTGCTGTGTGAGGCTCTCGAAATGGAGAGGCTGCCCTGCTCTGAGTGTCGCTGCACAGGGTCCTGGTTTTCATGCAGGATCACACATTTTCGAAAGTCATCCCCATCTCTCGTTAATGTAAGAAACCTGAGAAAATGCGAATAGACTAGAGTCTGTCCAGGAATTATTCCCATTTCTGTGAGTGACTATTTTACTTGAAGAGGAGGAGAAGAGTCTTATGAGACCAGGCAGAGAGAATTGTAGCCATTCTTGCCCAAAAAAGGAAAGGAAAAGAGAAATATTTTTTTTTGTCAGCTCTGGCATGCAGTACTTTCAGGGAAAATTCAATTTGTGTATCTCTCCAAGATGCAGTAATAATCTCATGCAGTTTCTCTGTCTGGGAGGAGGAATAAGGAAAGCTAAGCTAAACTGAAATGCAGGCTGATGACAAAACCCTTTTGCTTGGCTGCAGGGTTTCGAGCCACGAGACACTGACATTGGCAGAAAGCTCGTTGTGTGGAGGAATGTAGAGAGCCATACAGGCTACAAGAAGACCCTTTCCCTTTCTCCCTACGCCGAGAAGAAAAGGTATTTGAGTTTGGTTTGGGGGGTTTGAGGAAGACATTGGCTGTAAAGTTATAGATTTCAATGTTCCAAGATATCTATGTGAATTACAACACACATGCTACGCCTAAAAGCAAGCAAGGAACCTGAGAGTTCAGAGTCTGTTTGCCTGCAATGGACTTGGCCTCCCTACTCTGGAAACCAGGAATTAGGCTCTAAACTCTTCACGCATTTACTTCACTGCCGTTTGGAGGCTGCAGAGGTGGCTCAGCACATCTGCACAAGGGGATGCGGTTCCTCACCTAGGCTCACGTAGTTCCCTGTAAAGGGGCACAGTCAACCCAACACGAAATGCTCCCAGCCAAGCACTGCTCTTACAAGGCTATGACGAGTCTTACTGCTGCAGCTATCTGTGGCACCAGGGCCTCGTCAGTAAACGCACCTCACAGCCCGATGAGCTCTAGTTACCACAACAATCTGATCTCTCGCTAGCTATGATGACATTGGCGTCAGCAGAGGACAGAAGGCTGCTCAGGGAGAACAAGAAGCGAGGACACGGAGAATGGTGGAACAAATCTACGGAGCAGATGGTTTCTTTTGTGGTCCTCCAGGTAAATGAAGTCTTGATGGGGCAGTAAGCATTACACACCCAGAACCCAACTGCATGCAGAATGGTCGGTAGCTTTAGGACACAGGGAAATGTTCCCACAGTGCTCTAAGAAAGCAGTGGGTACAATACCACCCCGTGAAAGCTGCACCACCTTTGGATAGAGATCTTCCAGCACTTCAAAACTGAGGGGTTAGAAAAAGCTTGTTCTGAAATTCTGGAGAAGAGTTGGTTTTCCTTTTTAACTTTTTGCCATACTTCTTTTTTTTCCTTTAGAAATATACCTTAAAAGCACCAGTAAAAGGGCTAATTTTTTCACCATTTAACCATATCAAAAGTAAATACTCTGAAAAAATGGCGTATGCCCCACTCCCTCCCTGTTCCCACTCCCTCTCTGTTCCTTCTTTTCTTCCTGAAAAATGTAACTGGCAGTAAAAACTGGAGAAAAAAGCAGAAAACTCCAAGACACCCAAAATTTGTCCCAAAATGGACACTAGTAAGTAGAAGAACGAGGAACATCATGCAGATATTTTTACTCCCTTCCCTGCCTCTACTCCACCTCTGAAACCGAACCCCAAACCCTCAGGTCCCTGGGAGCTTCTGGCTGATCTCAAGCTCCTCGCTTGTAACAGGGGTGCAGAACCAGATGCCAACACTCGCTAAAAGCATGCTGACAGCACGGCCAGCGTATTTTGAAAATGCCCCAACGCTGCTCCCGCTGCTGACAGATGGGTGAGGTGCAGAGGTCAGATCACACAAGGCAGATGCTACCACTCACCACAAGCTAGCGTCTTTGTGACCTGCTTCCCTTCAGGGAGTCCTCCATAGCAGTCGGACTGACTGCAATATTTTTTTTTTTTTCTATGCACTGAGAGTCTACTCCAAGGCTGATTCATCTTCATCACCTAGCATTTTTTTAAAAATTGTTTTTCTTCTTCTTTATTTCAGAAAAGAGCTATTCCCAGCTGGTATTTATGTCCACAACTGCTGGGAGCTTATGGAACTTGCAAGCTATTCAGTCCATGTGTCAAATCGAACAAGACAAGGTTAGTAATGTCAGGAAGAACATGTATACATGCTGTCTCTTTTCTGACTGCCATCATCTTTAATCTCTAGCTGAAAGGAAGCCAGACAAAAATAACGTAAGCTACAGAACAGGTTTCAGCCTAGAGGACTCCACAGCATTTTACCTACTTAGCAACACGTGGATGATTCGCCCCCGCGCGGCAAAAAAGGGCCCCCTGCCATTAAACAAGAATGAATGGACACTGAACAAGAGCTTGGTCTGGAAGCCAAAGGTGTCCATCAGGAGCTGCTGAGAACGTTGGGCAGCAGAACCTAATTGCCGAAATGGAGCTGTCATCTTGGAGACCGTGACAGCAAGTCTTGCAAGTAGGAAGTTTAACTGGATTAGCTGTGTTTGCCACAGCATCCACATTTTCAAATCAGAGGTTATAAAATATAAGTAATGGGCAGGGTTTAATTTCTGGAAAAGGCTAGCACGTTTCAATAGCTTTAGCATTTGCAATTTGTCTTTGGGAGGGCGGTGAGCCATGGCTTGTGCACCTGGAGGGGAGGATTACTCCATGGAGCAAGAACACTGTGGGGCCGCAAGAAGAAGTGTGCAGACAGGGTCTGACATGACGCTCCCCTGCCTGTTTTTCAGATACGCTCACATGTTCATTTTAGAGACCTCTGCCAACGCACTGAAGCCAACGAATGCTGCCCAAGCTGGTCTCTGGGGAACTACATTGCCGTCCTGTACAACAGGTCTTCGTGTTTGGAGATAACCCAAGGAGATATCTCCCATACCCTGGCCCTCCTTCGTGCCTGTGCTCCAGACTACCACAAAGGTATCCTCACCCCGTCCTGCATAGGTCCCGAGACTGTGAGACAGAAACACTCCCAGTGTGCCAAAGTCCCAGAAAAATGCACCCGCTTCAATGCCATTTACCAGCTCCTTCACTTCTTGGTCGACAGAGACTTCCTTAGTCCCCAGACGATGGAGTACCAAGTGCCATCTCTCAAATACAGCCTGCTGTTTTTGCCTACAAGGAAAGGTGCATCTATGATGGGGATCTACTTAGACAATCTTGAATCCTGGGATCTGTTTGATAACTACACATCTATCACTGGAATGGACCTGGGCCTTAAGCAGAAACTATTCCAGCACTACCTTTTACTGGATACTAAGTATCCAGTCCTGGCAATATTAGCTATTTTTCTAAGCATTTCTTTTTATTTACGCTCAGTCTTTATCACCTTGATGGTCCTGCTCGCTGTTGTCAGCTCTTTAATGATATCCTACTTCTTGTACAAGGTGGCCTTCAGATTCACCTACTTCCCTTTTATAAACCTGACAGCAGTCATCATTCTCAGCAGCATTTGTGCCAACCACACCTTTGTCTTCTTCGACCTCTGGAACCTCAGCAAGAACCAGAACCCTTCTGCTGGGCTTTCTCAGTGGGTGAGTCAAACCATGCACCATTTTGCGTATCTCATGCTGGCATCTTGCTTCACCACGGGTGCTGCCTTCTATGCCAGCTACATTAGCAACATAATAGCCATCCGCTGCTTTGCTGTTTACATGGGCACCTCGGTGCTGGTCAGTCTGGTGTTCATGCTGACCTGGCTTCCTTCTTCGGCTGTGCTGTACGAGCGCTACGTAGCAACGACCTGCATTTACAAGCCAGGAGACTGCTGGAACAACACCGGCCATAAGAGGGTCGCTCTCTCCCTCCATTACATTCTCAGGGGTCTCCAGAACACGCTGTCTGAAACCTCCAAGCTGCTGTTTGAAAAGCTTCTGCCTTGCGGGGTCATCAAGTTTCGGTACATCTGGATCTGCTGGTTTGCCGCCTTAGCAATAGGAGGTGCCTACATTTCCTGCTCCAACCCAAAACTCAAACTCCCGACTCTTGAGACGTCGTCTGTCCAGGTGTTTCGACTGAGCCACCCCTTTGAGCGGTACGATTCCGAGTACTGCCACCAGTTCATGTTCGAGAGGCTGGAGCGTGGAGAAGGGCAGCGTATGCCTGTCACGATAGTCTGGGGCATTCTGCCCGTGGATAATGGGGACCACTTCAATCCAAAAAGCAACGGCACCCTAGTGACAGATGCCACCTTCACAATCCAAAACCCAGATGCCCAGAAGTGGCTCCTCGAATTCTGCCAAAAAGTGAAGAACAAAACTTTCTATTACCCCGACGCAGAGCAGAAATCTACTGTGTGCTTCATGGAGGAGTTCCTCAGGTGGATGGACAGTCGCCAGTGCTCCCAGCGAGACCACAGCTTCAACCTTTGCTGTAACCAGTTCTCCTTCCCTTACGGAAGCGAAGTCTTCCTACACTGCATCAAAATGATGCTCCTGGAACAAAGCAGGGAAGGGGCAGAAATGTACGACCTGGGCCTCAGGTTTGACGGGGAGGGAAATCTCGCCGCCTTAGTGCTGCAGTTTCAAACTATTTATCACTATAGCTTCAACTACAGCAAAGCCAAACAATTCTACGAGGAAATCAACCTCTGGGTAACAGAGGAAATGAAAACTGCCCCCATGGGGCTTCAGAATGGATGGTTTACCAGTAAACTAGAGCTGTACAACCTCCAGCACAGTCTCAGCACAGAAATGATGGTGGTTATGGGGCTCTCCATAGCCATTTCCTTTGTGGTGCTGCTGCTTACTACCTGGAACGTTCTCCTTAGCATTTTCTCTGTCACTGCCATCGCAGGCACTGTCCTGGTAACCACTGGCCTTTTGGTCCTCTTGGAGTGGCAGCTCAACGCAGTGGAGTCTCTCTTCATTTCAGCTGCAGTAGGTCTCTCTGTTGACTTTACCGTCAACTACTGCATCTCCTATCATCTGTGCCCCCATTCTGACCGCCTGAGCCGAGTGGCCTTTTCCCTGAAGCAGATGAGCTGTGCCACGGCCATGGCAGCTTCTGCTCTCTTCTCTGTGGGGGTCATTATGTTGCCGGCGACGGTCCTGGCCTACAGGAAGTTGGGGATATTCATCATGATGATCAAGTGTATCAGCTGTGGGTTTGCCAGCTTCTTCTTCCAGTCACTGTGCTGCTTCTTCGGCCCAGAGAAGAACTGTGGGCAGATCCTTTGGCCTTGTGCCCACACCATGAAGGACTATTCTGATGACTCGGGGCTGAACGGAAGCTTTGCCTGTGGGGGGACCGAGAAGCAAAACCGGTTGCGGAAGGTCCAAGAGTCCAACACTGCAAACGAGCAATACGAGCTCCAGCCCTTGTCCAGAAAACTCAGCGACAGCTTTGACAACAGCACCTCCACAAGCAAGCTGTCCAACCGGCCGTCAGTGCTCTCTGAAGACATACAAGCTGAAGACAACAGATGCCCCAGAACGCACACCTCCCTTGAAAGAGAGAGACAGAATTTGCAGGAGGCCCTTGGAGACCAGCAGGCTGGCCTGTGCCAGTGTCCTGCCTTGCAAACCTCCTCTCCGTACAAGCACAGCAGCTCAGGAGCAGAAATGCACAGGGAGAGACTCTGCCGAGACTGTCGATGTCGAAAGTACGGTCCAAAAGCTTGGGATGGGTCTGGGCTGGACCATATCCAGCCAGCTGGCACGAAAGAAGAAGAGCAGCTCAATAAATCACAGTGCTCTAGTGACGCTGCCCAGCAGCAGCAGGATTATACCTCAGACAACAGCCATCTCCCTGCTGCTGACATCTACAAAATTCACAGATGCCTTTGTTCTCTTGGCAGCTCTTTTGACATGCTCAACATCTCCAGCGAGACGTCGATTAGCGATTTTGAGCAAGGCCTAAAGCTCGCTGAATCAGCCAGTTCTTGTCCTGATGTCTTGGAGCTGTCTGATTCGTACAGCCAAACAGAGAGAGGTTACTTGAACGGGAAGAGAGATACCCTGCGGCTGGACCTGAGGGAGACTGTCTTTGATATCTCTCCAGCAGCATCGCAGCAGAACAGCTCTTCATGGAAAAATCGATTTGGCTTAGGGAGTGAAGGTCCGGTCGTGTTACCGAACAGCCAACCAGACATGCCTGATGTTTGGATCAAACGGTCTAGCGCACAGAGTTCTGGTTACAACAGTTGAAACCTTGCAGAAGACAAAACCATACTGCTGGGGAAAGGGGAAGCTGAAATCTCCTTGGAACTGTAAATAGCAGTTTTTTCCTCCCACCTCTCCTAGAGCGGAGACTATTTCTTAGTATTTCAGCTGTGCAAATACCTGCGTTTTCACAGAACCAGCAAATCTGATACTAGTGAGAGGATGTGAGATCAGTCGTGATGGAGTACAAGCCCTTTGACTTTCCGGTGTCTGGTGCCATACTCACAGCTGTATCGCTAAACTTATCCAGCAGACCCGTTTTGTCATTTCCCACAAGGTGATTAGATTTTGTTTTCTTGTCAACGTCACATAGGAGAGAAATAATGAGGCAAAGAAAAAATCCAACCCCCAGACCCACAACTGTTGAAAATCTAGATATCAGGTGAAGAGTGTATTGTTAATAAAAAGAGAAAGTCTTTTTTTTCTTACTGAATCAGAAACTGCTTTACGTAAAGTCCAGGTTCCCAGATCTCATCACAATAGTTCAGATACTGCAAAAAAATCTCATTGAGACTTCTGAATCGATACAGTCTCTTACTGATCACGGAGGAGGGTGCAGAATCCAGCCCAAATCTATTTTCAGTAACAATTTCAGTTTATCAGAACAAATTCAAGTACTGCCAAAGATTTTCAGTGTGAGACTTCCCCTTGGAGAAAAGTGTCCTGGTCCCCTCAGTGACTTGGGTGCTTTGTGTGTTGTCTTCATAGCTTGTTCCCACTCAAGGCATTCCCTACAAACATGTCACTTTTTAAAATTTGCGTATCTGGTGAATCTTGAATTTTACTTTTTTTTTTTCCTCTGCCAAACAGGCAAACAAACACTTCCTTGCCTTTATCTGTGGAAAAAGAGAAAACATTCTCTATACAAGTTGATGTAAAATAAATGCTTATGACAAACTTTCCTAAACCTGTGTGATGCTTCATTTTCACCAAGAACACTGTGGCTCATTTTCTTTAAGTGCCTAATGTCTTTTCCAGTATAACCAGCAGCAGGGCAGTATCCATCTTGAAAAGCCTCGCTCCTTCTGACCACCACAAGTAGTTTGCCCTGCGCGGTGGGCGACAGGCCGTGACTGCCCAATGCGGATGAAGAATGCACTTTTTTAGACCAAACAACCCTGCTTGAAATATACAACGTATTTGTTTTGCATTTTCATCATGTAATTCTCACAACCAGGTGTTCAGGGGGGGCTTTTGGCAACCAGAGCTGTGCTCGGGCTGTAAGCCAGCGCTGACTGGAATCCCCTCCTCACAGGAGCTGCTTCCATTACTGCACGGACAGAGCTTCTCACCCACGTTGAAAACTGTTGGAAAACACTGCAAAAACCTCTAATAAAGTCAGGAAGCATTTCATACAGACGCCTCCTTTTCCCTCACAGTGTGGAAGGGCAATTCTAACGGCAAGCGGCAGCACGGGTATCCTGAGGGCAGAGTGCAGGACTCCACAGTGACAGAATCCCCCACGAAAGCCGCAGAGGCCTTGAGGGCTGCGGGCCTCGAGTGCCCAAAGCACAGGGTAAGGCAGCGGGAGGCAGGGCAGGGCGAAGCCCTCCCAGCTGGCTGCCCCGCGGGCTGCTGTGAGGGGAAGCAGCGTCCCACCCGCCCGAGGAGCCCGCCATCCCC